AATTGATCTTAATATTTTAGACTGACCGGAGGCCGTATTTCTACAGTTATTCATTTGAGTCTGAACCCATTTGAAATGATAAGGCCACATATCCTCAACGTCATCTAGTGCGATACGCAATAGCTTCTTTAGTTCTCTATGACGTGTTTCATTTGCACCCTGCGATTGAGGTTTATAAGGAACACCACACCTATGGGTCATGCCTGATACGAGTATAAATGCCTCCATTACATCGGTACAAGACTCACTACCGATATCAGAACATCATAAAAGACGTGATAGCATAACTCTGCCACTGTTTGCGAGCGTTTGTTCGGTATCGCATAAAGCAAGTTATAGCCCGAAGCCATACTTAAGAAATGTCAGATATATACATCACCAGTATGCTTGGATCGCGGGAGTTTAACCAAATCGACTATGACTCGGCGCATCGGTTGGTCTTCTGTCGCACTTTTTAGGAGTGCCCAACCGTAGCACTTGATCTGGTTTTTTCACAATCAGTGCAACGTCGGTATAGTTCACGTATGGTTTCTTTCAGCGCCGGGTGATAAAGCCCTGCACGAACAGCCATCTTATAAGTATGCTCATATGCTCGACGAGTTAAATTGTGTATTATTTTAACTCTACTCTCGAGCTCTTCTAAGTCAGTCAGATTCTGTGTAACGCTGGCTGGATGAACCATAGTCCCGTTAGATAGCGGAACTTCAGTATCAGGAGGGGTAGACTCCTGAGATACGTAATTAACAACATTGGATTGTTGAAGTATCTTCTTCCGTTGTTTCGCAACTCCTGGCTGTTCATTAAGCATCGCTTTAAATAGTTGAGTGCGAGCTTCAGGTTCTCTTAGTGCTTTGAGTCTTTGATCCATGGCCTTAGCTAGTTCCATGTTTTTACGATCTAATGCCGTCTCAATCGGCATTTCCTCGACTGCATTCTTGTTGGGTGCATGTGTTGTACGAGTCTAGAGTTTTTGTTCAAACTCCTTAGACTCCTCTAGTTTAGCTAAGAACTCGGTTGAGGGTTTCCACTTAGTGGTACCTGCAGGACCGATGCGACAAACGATGGTGTGTTTCCAAGGTGTCTTCTTAATAGAATAGGATTCCTGATACAAGAACGTGTCGGTTTCACGGTCGACATAGATAGTCTCGTCTTGTGATTTTATCACGTATCCATGGGTTGGAGCTACGTGTAAGGGACAACACAGCGTAATGGTAGGTTTAGTAATAGTAACATAATTTAACAACTGTGCGATAAGTTGCCAAGGTGGGTTAGCCCACGCATTATGCTTTGATAAGTGAAGTTGAAAGGCATCACCTTTAGGATGAGTCAACGACCTATATTCAGAAACCTGTTTGTTGTGTTCTGCGGCGAGCATATCAATAGTAGATAGACCCCATCTTGATTGAGCGAGGTTAAACCATTTCTTATTAAGCATCGGATCGGTGGCTATTAACTCTTTAACTGTTTCTGGTAGTCAGGGACAAGTCAACAGAGCATGTCAGCAAGTTGATTATGTAATCCTGGTATGCGGCTCACCAACTGTGAATCAGGGTTCATGTCCTTTAAATATGT